GCTATGGTTTAAATCAATTCTTTCTGGAAACAAAGACATGTGCTAGACAGACCTAGCAGAACTGTGTCTCAGGCCGGTGGCTGGCCCCACACCCATCCCAAATCTCACAAGACTTAGAAGACCCACAAAGCTATTTTCAAAGTTCTCCAAAATGGCAGTGTTCTCCACTCTGGTAGAGCTGTTTTTTCCTTTCTGCTTTCCTTCTCTCCTTCCTTTCCTCATTGAACTGTTTCTTGAACACCTACTATATACCAGCATAGTGCTACAGAGGTCTTTTATTCTGGATACTAAGATGGTAGAGGTGTCAGGGATATCAATACTAAGATAATAGTAAGAGTGTGGGTCTGGGTAGCTCAGAAGGCTTCTCAGACAAAACGTGAAAGAAAAGCAGGAATTAATTACCCAGGTGAAAAGCAAGGGGGACGTCTCCGCCAAATACAGCAGCATTTTCAGAGGCTCTGAAATGGGAAAATGCTCAACACTTTCTAAGTACTAAAATGGGGCCATATGGACCCCAGAAACAAGGGGGTTGAGGGGGATCCTATAGGATTTATCAGGGAAGCGGCGTGGCTGTGCAGGGGTGCCCATAGATATGGGGGTATAGTCATGAGATAATTATGTAATCACAGCATTTGAAAAGTAGGAGGAAAGTGAATGTGATGTTCCATTCCTGAGACTCCCAAAGGGGTGGCTTGGAAGGGGGAGAGAACCTTTAACAGAGTGGGCACCAGTGAGAGAGAAGAATGGGACTTAGGGTGGGAGGGCAGTCTAGGAGCTGTTTCAATTAGCTTTAAGCTACTTTGGAAATATTCACATGCAAATGAAAAGCAAACAATCTGAGGAACAAAGAGAAAAAGGGTCCCTTCCTGGGCAATGAATGGGTCAGGAAGTGGAGTTTGTAGGGTCTGATGGTGCTTGCAAACTGTTGCTCAAATAGGCGGTGGTTTAAATGAGTTCCTTCTGGAAACGAGGATGCCTACTAGACAGCCGTGGCAGCTCTCTGCCCCACAGCCTCCCCAAACCAAGACTCAAATTTGGACCGGAAAGACTAGATCTGGGAGCCAAGGCATGGAGCCAAGAGCCAGGACAAAAACTGAGGTCTCCTGAGTGCAAGGCTCAATGAGGAGAAGGTGTCAGAATAAAGTTCATCAGAACACAGAACACTCACATTTAGAGGTGAAGGCTCAGAGGGAGCTGTTAGAGCATCCAGAGCCAAGTGTGTCGAGAGGAGAGTCCAGGACTCTGTGGAATGCCCCTGAATGGTCTGGTAAGAGGAGGACTAAGCTCTATTTGACTTTGCAACATGAGATCTTAATAGCAAGTAGCAGAAACAAGGGGTCAAGCAGCTAAAGACAGAAAAGATAGTGCCCATTATTCATTTGAAGATAGCAATCTTACAGTGAAAGAATTCTACCCCACTTGCAAGTTTTCACTAGTAATAATCCACTGCTGGATAAGAACATAAAATAAGATGGAGAGGTGGGTAAACCAGACTGGGATCTCACCACAGCAGCAGTACAAGAAAGAGGAAGAAGAGTGGAACCAGGAGAGGCAAAGTGATGGGCCATGTTCTCAGAATATATTTTGCAAAACATAATGCCCAAAAGGAGAGAGAGAGAGAGAGAGAGAGAGAGAGAGAGAAGAAAAGTGTCTGCCATAGAGGCAGGCTGGGGGGTAGGTGGCAAGAGGGATACAGGGGATGTTAGTGGTAAGAAATACACACTGGTGGAGGGATGGTAGCTGGACCACTGTACGACTGAAACCCAATTACAAAAACCTTTGTAACTGTATCTCATGGTGATTCCATTTAAAATAAAATAAAACAGTGATGGGCCATGTGATCGAGTTGGTTAAGACCAGTGGGGCATAGGGGTGGGGCGGTGGCAATGCTGGTGAAACTACTAGATTGGGAGGTACAGAAAGGCAAAAGCCTGAATTAGAGCATGCACCTGAACAGGTGACCCGGAAGTAAAATTGGGAGGGGCCAGAGGGAAGATTCCGGCCTCGGGGAAAGATCCAGGTCTTGGATGGGCAGGAAAATGTTTTCAATTGAAGCAGCCTTCCATCCTGACCCAGAGGAAGGGGAAGCATTTGAAATGCAAAGGTCCCCTTCCTCAACATAATTAAAGCCATCTACCACAAGCCTACAGCAAGCATCATCCTCAATGGGGAAAAACTGAGAGCCTTCCCTCTAAGATCAGGGACGAGACAGGGATGCCCACTCTCTCCACTGCTGTTCAATATAGTACTGGAAGTACTTGCAATAGCGATTAGGCAGGAAAAAGATATTAAGGGCATTCAGGTAGGAAAGGAAGAAATCAAGCTCTCACTATTCGCAGATGATATGATACTCTACTTAGAGAACCCAATAACTTCCACCAAAAAACTCTTAGAAACAATAGACTCGTATAGTAAAGTTGCAGGTTATAAAATCAATACCCAAAAGTCCATGGCTTTCCTATACGCAAACAGTGAGAGAGAAGAAAGCAACATGAAAAAAACAATCCCATTCACAATTGTGCCCCAGAAAATCAAGTACCTAGGAATCAGCTTAACTAAGGAAGTAAAGGACCTGTACAAAGAAAACTACAAAACGCTACTTCAGGAAATAAAAGAGGACATGAGGAAATGGAAAGATATCCCCTGCTCATGGGTCGGGAGACTTAACATTGTCAAAATGGCAATACTACCGAAAGCATTGTATAAATTCAATGCAATCCCTATAAGGATACCCATGACATTCTTCAAAGAAATGGAGCAAACACTCTTGAAATTTATATGGAACAATAAGCCCCCACGAATAGCTAAAGCAATTCTTGGGAAAAAGAAAATGGGAGGAATCAACCTCCCGAACTTCAAACTGTACTACAAAGCAGTAATAATTAAAACAGCATGGTACTGGAACAAAGGCAGAACTGCAGACCAATGGAACAGGGTTGAATACACTGACATTTCTCCTCAATCATATGCTCATCTAATCTTTGATAAAGGTGCAAGTAATGTGAAGTGGAGTAAGGAAAGCCTCTTTAATAAATTGTGTTGGCATCACTGGACGGCTACATGCAAAAAAATAGGCTCAGAACTCTGCCTAACACCATGTACAAAAGTAAGATCAAAATGGATTAAAGACCTCAACATCAGACCAGAAACCATAAGGTACATTGAAGATAAAGTTGGCAAAACCCTCCATGACATTGAAGCTAATGGTATCTTCAAAGATGCCACGCCACTGGCCGAGCAAGTGAAAACAGAGATAGATAAATGGGACTATCTTAAACTAAGAAGCTTCTGCACCTCCAAAGAAACAGTGACCAAAATACAAAGACAGTCTACAGAATGGGAAAGGATATTCGCCGAATACACATCTGACAAGGGGTTGATATCCAGGATATACAAAATACTGGTTAAACTCCACAAGAAGAAAACATCCAACCCCATCCAAAAATGGGGCAATGAAATGAACAGAAACTTTCTCAAAGAAGAAATCCGAATGGCAAAAAAGCACATGAGAAAATGCTCTACATCATTAATCATCAGGGAGATGCAGATCAAAACCACAATGAGATACCATCTCACACCTCAGAGACTGGCCCACATTCAAAAGAACAAAAGCAACCGATGCTGGCGTGGATGTGGCGAGAAAGGGACACTCCTTCACTGTTGGTGGGAATGTCCACTGGTTCAGCCCTTCTGGAAAACAGTATGGACGATTCTCAAAAAATTAGAAATTGAGCTCCCATTTGACCCAGCAATACCACTCCTGGGAATATATCCCAGAGAGGCAAAAATGTATAGTCGAAGTGACATCTGCACTTGTTTGTTCATTGCAGCCCTCTTTACAATAGCCAGAAACTGGAAGAAACCTGAATGCCCAAGAACAGATGACTGGTTAAAGAAACTTTGGTACATCTACACAATGGAGTACTATGTAGCTCTTAGAAAAGATGAAGTCATGAAATTTACATACAAGTGGTACAATATGGAAAGTATCATGCTAAGCGAAATGAGTCAGAAAGAGAGGGATAGACATAGAAAGATTGCATTCATCTGGGGGATATAAAGTAACAAAGTATGAGATTAATACCCAAGAATAGCTGAGATCAGCACCAGGAGGATTACTCCATAACTTAGAGGCCAGCCGGGTATCCTAGAGGAAAGGGCTATTCAGATAGAGAAGGGAGCACCAAATAAAGGATGTTTGGAGGATCCTCCCAGGAGGGGAGATGCATGTCGAAAGTAGACTATGGACTGAACATGTTTGCCACTCAATGCCTCTTTTGCAGACCACAACACCCAAAAGGAGAGAGAGAACACAGGGGATTGCCCTGCCACAGAGACGGGGGGATGGGGGGATGGGGGTGGGAGGGATATTATCCATGGTGGTGGAAAATGGGCACTGGTGGAGGGATGGGTATCTGATCATTGTATAATTGAAACCAAAGCACAAAAAATTGTAAATCTACAACTTTAAAAAAAAATAAAATAAAATAAAGGGGAAAAAAATAAAAAAAAATAAAAAAAAAAAAATAAAATCTACCATTTATGAGCTATATAAAAAAAAATACTCAGCTTAAAAAGGCTACAGAAGAGTGAAAAAATAAATGCAATGACATTTATACAAAAAAAAAAAAAAAAAAAAAAGAAATGCAAAGGTCCCATGGCTAGAGGGATGGGCCCTGGCCCCTTGGGCAACACAGGCTACAAACAGCAGGTTCTGTGGGGCCAGAAGGATAGTACAGTGGGTAGGGCACCTGCCTTGCATATGAGTGACCCAGGGTTCGATTCCCCAGCATCCCATATAGTCCCCTGAGCACCACCAGAAGTGCGATCCCTGAGTGCAGAGCTAGAAGTAACCCCTAGGTATCACCTGCTATGACCCCCATAAACAAAACAAACAGTGGGGTCCATCTGTCTGGGTCTCCACATTCATCACCCCCACCACTCCCAGCCCCCTGCTGACTCACCTGCTCCGTCTCTTTCCTTTCCCTGTCTCACAACAGATGAGCGGCCAGCCTGCGAAGGAGAAGCCAGAGTCTCGCCACAGACCCCTCCTGCCCGAGCCTCTTTCCAGCAGATACAAACTCTGTGAGTCAGACTTCACCGGCCCCAGCTGGCCCTCAAGCCCCCAGGACACACACCCAGCTTTGCCCCTCCTGGAAATGCCTGAGGAAAAGGTGAGGACAGTCCCTCCTGAGGTGTTCCTGGGAGAGGTGGAGGGGTGGGGAGCAAGTGGAAGGGTGGAGGGTGGGGAAGGAGATGACAAATGCTGCTTCCCAGCTTCCTGTGCTCATGAGACAGAAGTCCCTGAAAGGCCATGGCAGGAACTAGGGGCCGTGTGCCTCCAGTCAGGGCAAGGCTACAGTCAGAATCTCCTTGACCTTCAGAGAGAAAGGTGACATCCTGGGACTTGGTTTGAAGGACAAGCCCAGACCGTTTCCTTTAGCCCTGTTCCCTGCTTATCCCCAAAGGCAGTAGCCCTTGGACACAAGGACACAGAGGCAGCCAGGGGAGAAGGACACAAGATGCAGGACCCATCCCGTATAAACTTTTTGTTGTGGATCAAAGGGAAATTTCAGGGGCTCTTGGGTCTTTCTTGGGCTTGTCCATCTCCCTGGCCAGGGCCTGCCCTGTACATGCAGGAGCTTTCTCGGGACACAGGGACATGCCCAGTCTCTTGGAATGCCCCTCTGAAACCCCTTTCAAGCTTTTCAATGAGCCTAATTGCCCCCACTGAAATCTGCCACCTCAAGTAATTTGGTATAACGTTTTCTTTGTCTCTCTGTATTGGTGGTCCCTCAGGAAACTTAAGTTTTCTGTTTGTTTCTGAGCCACACCAGGCTTATTCCTGGCTCTGTTCGCAAGGATCACTCCTGGTGAGGAGCAGGGTACCATATTCCATGCTAGGGATAGAACTGGGCTAGTGTGTACATGGCAAGCACCTTCACCATAGTACTGTCTCTCTGTCCCAGGATACTTGAGTTTTGAGGCAGGTGAGGGGGGGAGGGGTGAAAGACATTGGAAGCATCACTATGATGCCCAAGAGACACATAGCGTGAGCCACAGAGCCTAGTTTCAACTTTCTACTAAGCCCCATTTTTAAAAAGCAAGTGAAATTAATGTTTCTAAAATATTTATTACCAAAAGCATTGTTGAGATATTCAACTATTTTTTTACATTTTTATTATTTATTTTATTTATTTTTTTTTTCCTTTTTTTTATTACTAGTGAAACACCATGAGGTACAGTTGTAGATTTACAAATTTTTGTGCTTGGATCTCGGTCATACCACGATCAAATACCCATCCCTCCACCAGTGCCCATTTTCCACCACCAGGATAATATCCCTCCCCCCCATCCCCCCATCCCCCCATCCCCCCCGCCACTGTGGCAGGGCATTCCCTTTTGTTCTCTCTCTCCTTTTGGGTGTTGTGATCAGCAAAAGAGGCATTGAGTGGCGAACATGTTCAGTCCAGTCTACTTTCAACCTGCATCTCCCCTCCTGGGAGGATCCTCCAAACACCCTCCACTTGGTGTTCCCCTTTCTATCTGGAGATATTCAACTATTTTTGTTTTTTTTTTGAGGGGGTTGTTTGTTTGGGGGCCACACCCAGCAATACTCAGGGGTTACTCCTGACTCTGTACTCAGGAATTATTCCAGCAGTGCTCAGGGGACTATATAGGGTGCCGGGAAATGAATTCAGGTCAGTGACATGCAAGGCAAGATAGGGATTGAACTCGACCTGCTGTAACACTGCTCTGATACCATATTTGACATTTTTAAAATTAAGTCTAGAAAATCCACTCCAAGGACATCACAGTTCTGAGTGACTACATGCCCATTGGCTTCCATATTGGCAGTGCGGCCTCAAGCTGACCATCCTGGCCAATGTGCCCGCATTGCACAGGGTAATAATTCACCTTTGTTTTCACTCACCTCAATGAACATTGACATTTATTTCCATTAGGAATCTGGGAAACAAACAATAGTAAAAATAGTAGTGCCTGAGTCTTTTGTCATTGTCACAGATTAGGATCCTCGGGAAATTGACTTTGAGCCGGAAATTCATGCATAAACATAATTGAAGTCATTGGGGTCTTTTGCTTGTAGAGTAAAGGCAGAAGTAGGGCTGTGGGGTGCTCCTGAGGTGAACTGTAGGGCTGCATCGGCCCCACAGTGGTGACGAAAGATGAGGTTCAGCAGACTCTCATTTTCACTCATCACTTTGTAATCATAGGAGGTACTGGATCTGCCCCAAACTGGTATAGAGCACAGTTTTTCAAGGATTGTGATAATTACATTTTAGTATAGTGAGTCTTTATAATTCTAACTTTAATTTACTTAACCTCATTATTCTGGAAAGAAATCCATAGACTTTGCCAAATGGTCAAAGGGATCACTGGCAAAGAATTGGGTTAGCAAAGATTAAGATATCTTGCTATGGTCTTGCTCTTCAAGCTCGGGTTCTCCCTTGAATGCATATCTCACTTGCTTGTCACGGTTTCTTTGCTTCTCTCCTGTTTCCACCCTGGAGAAGCCCGTGTTCTCTCTTAAACACATACTTCTCTCTTTCTCTCCCCTCGTATCTTTCTAAATAAGTTTCAGTTAAAAATATTTTTGAAAGAAAATCACAACACCCAAAAGGAGAGAGAGAGAAAAAAGGGAATGCCCTGCCACAGAGGCGGGATGGGAGAGGGATGGTGGGAGGGATGCTGGGACAATTGGTGGTGGAAGATGGGCACTAGTGGAGGGATGGATACTCGACCATTGTATGACTGAAATGCAAGCATGGAAATTTGTAAGTCTGTAGTTGTACCTCACGGTGATTCACTAATATAAATAAATAAATAAATAAACAAACAAACATATTGATGAAGTAATTGATAAAGTGATTAAATCATGTCACCTGAAAAGCAAAAAAAATATTTTGCAAGAAAGAAAGAAAGAAAGAAAGGAGGTGAGAGAGAGAGAGAGTCAGAGACAGAAACAGAGAAAGATCCTCTATCAGGCGAGAGAGACAACATAGAGAATAAGGCACCTATCTTGCATGTGGCACACACCTGTTGTATCCTCAGATACATATATGATTCTTCACACACTACCAGAAGTCACTCCTGAGTACAGAGCCAGAAATACCTGTTGAGTACGTTTGGACGTCACCCCAAAACCAAATTTTTTTTTCAGTTTTTGGGTTAGACCGGGTACAGAGAATAGATCCCTAGTTAACCTCATGCAAAGCAATTGCCCTGCCTGCTGTACTATCTCTCCAAACCCCCCACCAAAAAAATATTTTTAAAGAAGGTAAATCCTGCTGTGAAGGCTAGGTAGCCTCTTGGACAGCACTAAGTCAGATATGCAGCTGATCTTGTTCTAGGAACTAAAATTCCTGACCACTTTCCCTATTCCCAAATATCCCTGTTCTCAAAAAAACTGTGTTTTTCGATATTTTACCATGCCTTTTCTGGAAAGGATCTCCGATCATCCAATGAAGATAGCCATATTGTGAAAATGGAAACCACCAAGGACAGGAGTAAAAGAAGAGAAAGCGAAGCAACACAACAGGGTTCTCCTGGCCGAAGGGGCATCAGCCTCTTCCAAGCCCTGGGCTACATCACGGGTGAGATGAAGGAGTGCAGGAGCTGGCTGACAGGTAGGCAGAGGCACACCTGTGCAATGGCAGCCACATGCTTCCCTTAGTCACACCAGAGCAGCCTTCCACTGTTTGGGGTCTCTCTATAAATGTGGTCCACCCCACAATCTTGGAATTCCCATTGTTGTAGAACTAAGCACATTTCACTGATTTTGATTGCCAATATTTCCTTTCCAGTGCAATACATACAGGGTGACAGCATTAGCACCATATATGTCATTTCCCACCCCACAGATCAGTCATTCCTGCTCCTCTGTTCACAGCCCTTTACTAGGGACTGAAAAAATACCCACCTCCCCTTTCTGGATGCTCCAGAGTTCTTCCCTCTGCTGGTTCCGTAAACTAAATTTTGCAACCAACACCCTTCTGTTCCCCCTTTCTGAAGTTGGCTGCCCCAGAAACCAACCCAGATGATGAGGCCAAATGTACGGTTCATCTTCCATTCCTGGCTTCTGGTCCTTACCCAACATTCAATCCAGCAGGATGACTATACTGTCTCAGGTTCTCTTCTCCAAATGACTTTTCTCTGCTACTCAGCATCACACATAAAGACTAACAAATGCCCAAACCCAATAGACATGAAGACCACGAAAACCAATCTTCCATAGGAAGCTTGCCATTTGGGGATGGGGTGGGCGATGGAACAGAGAGAACACTACAACAATGGTGGAGGGAAGGGGTCACTTGGGAGGAGGAGAGGGTGCTGAGAGGTGATAGAGTATTAAGCATGAAACCTTATCAGTAATAGTAATGTAAACCACAGCTCCAAAATTTAGAAATAAAAGTTTACCTGTAATTAGATGTAGGATGGTGGTGGGGAGGGGAGGATAAATAGAGATATTGGTGGAGGAAAGTGGACACTGATAATTCATGGTGGCTAAAATATATAGAATTACCTCTCCTCCCCACCCTTTGCCTTGGAATACTCCCTGGCCAAACCAGACAAGTGATGCACAGGTGTTCTCTGGGTTTCAGCATAGCCCGGGATCTGAAGCTCACACCCACTGGCTTGGCCCTGTGGAGACACATGCTGGTGGCCAGACTGAACCAGGATCAATTCCTGGCTGTGCCTCTGGGGTGTCATTCCATCTAGTGATCACCCAGGGAAGCACAGGACAGCCCCACTGTTGCTCCTCTGTCTCTTTCAGATAAGCCCCTGGCCTTCCAGTTCACAGACTGGGTCCTGCGGGGGGTGGCCCAGGTTATGTTTGTCAATAACCCTCTCAGTGGGTTTGTTGTCTGCATCGGGCTCCTGATCCAGAACCCCTGGTGGATGATCGCTGGTGGCCTCGGGGTTTTGGTCTCCACCTTAACTGCCCTTGCCTTGAGTCAAGATAGGTAAGTTTCTTTCTGTGAGAACTCTTGGGGTCTTGGGGTCTTGGGGTCGTGTGTGTGTGTGTGTGTGTGTGTGTGTGAGAGAGAGAGAGAGAGAGAGAGAGAAGCAGTTGGGACTGAGTCTACCCAGTATTCACCCAATAAACTGCCTTCTTATATGAGTACCCAGAGTATCCACCAAGTACCACCAAGTGCCACTCACCCGTCACCCTATGCCCACAGGGCAGCCATTGCCTCAGGACTCCACGGCTACAACGGGCTGCTGGTGGGACTGCTGATAGCTGTGTTCTCCGAGAAGCTGGACTACTACTGGTGGCTTCTACTTCCGGTCACCTTCACTGCCATGGCTTGGTGAGGCACCTCCCCTTTCTGCTCTCAACCTTGCTTCCCCCAAGGGGTGCGGGTCTCACCCTGGACAGGAACCTGCACAGTGGTGTAGTTCACTGCACTGTCTCACAAGATACCCTGAAAACTCATGTTCAGTTACAACACAAAGAAATCACTTTGAGCCACGTCTCATGAAAGCAGCAGAGGTGTCCCCTTAGTTTACTTTGCCTTATGCTGTCCTTTGTACCAGCAGTGAATGTGCATTGAGCCTCTCCTTCATGCTACGATGCAGCACTCTAGCTATGGGGGCCAACGTGAGACCAGTTTCCAGAAGGGATGTACAATGCAGAAACTCCCCCAGGGCCTGCAAAGCATCCTGTTGGTGTCTGAACCCAGAGTCTGCACTGTGAACCCCAGGATTCCTGGGGGTCTTCCCCCTTATGGCCTTACCAAGACCCCAAAGCAGAAATGTTGGTTGTGGTGAAGCTTTCTTAGACTAGAATGTGTTCAAAGCATAGTTTCTCCAACAAGAAGCCTCCTTGGTGATCTTGCTGAACAATCACTTTGCAAGACCAAAATAAAACAGAAACAAAGACTGGCTGCGTGAGGGCTGTGCAAGGCGTTTCCCATAGGCCATCCTTATTTCTCTTGAATCTGCAGCCAGCCTCTCGAGGCCCTTTCCAGACACGCTTAAGAGCAAGCCCACTCTCGCTTGGGGGCAGCGGCAGGAAGTGGGCTGACCTCACCACCTACCTCCTGTGCTCACACACTCCCAGAAGTGCTGGTGGATTTTCAGCCTCTCTCCAAAATAAATACCATGTATTGGTTTCAAAGTCTGGAGTTACTAAAACCAGTTAGTTTAATTTCCTTTAAAGTACTTTTCCATTACTTTTTAATAGTGCTTGCACATAAATTACTATATTAAGAATTCTGGGCTGTCTATGTTTCTTCTTGGGGTTTCTGGCTTTCTTAATTCACTGGGGAGAAAAACTACAACAGTCGTTTCTTACATCCCACTGGCCCCAGTTTGAATCTTGGCACCACATGCTAATGCAGTCATTTCTGCAGAGATTTCCTTACTGGCTCCACAATGCAATGTGAGGAAGAGGAGGAGGAGGGGGGAGGGGGATGGGGAGGAGGAGGAAGAGAAGAAGGAGGAGGAGGAGGAGGAAGAGGAGATGTAACTTCATCTACATACATCAGAGACTAAGCCCCTCCTGGGCGCAGTCGATCAATAGTTGTCCTCCCCCCACCCCCTTTCCCAATTTTGAAAGCAGATGATTACTGAGAACCCTCTCTTGAGTCCTGAAATTCAATAATCCATTCCTGTGGTCCTTGAAACTTGATCCATGCAGTAGGATGTTCCTCTGCCATTTTCCTGACATTCCCAACATGTGTTTGTGAGAGCCTGTTGCTGTGTGTCAGGACTCTTCGAGATGTTTAGATGTTGGGGGTGGCAGTGACCCAGAGGGGGCCACCACCCTCATGGAGCATCTCTTCTTCTTGGCAGAGAGAAATAAATGCATATGTGTTTATTTAATGATAACATATCATGTTATGAAGAGGGTGAATCTTTGAAGAACACAAAGCCAGACAAATGAGGGAGATAGGACAGAGAGCTCAGCTCCAGAGAGAGTGGTCAGGAAGGCCAGAGACACTCAATCTGTCCCCTAAATGGTAAGAGGCTTCCTGCCACCTGGAGATCAAGACAGAGATCATGGCTGGAGCAACAACTCCAAAAGTAGAGACATGTGAGGGATTCAGGAGCAATGAAGGAAGGGGGTTGGCAAGAGGAGAGTCAAGTCCCTCAGAGGGTCAGACCCTGTAAACTTCTTGGGTTTTATAGTAAAAGCAAAAGGTTTTGGTTTGGTTTGGTTTGGGTTGGTTTTAATTGAATCACCATGAGATACACAGTAACAAAGTTGTTCATGGTTGGGTTTCAATCATTCAATGTTCTGTCACCTTCTTCATTAATGTATATTTCCCACCACCAATACCCCCAATTTCCTTTCCACCCTGGCTTCCACAGCCTTCCTTAATGGCAAACACTTTTCTTCTCTCCCTCTCCCTTTCCCTCTCCCTCCTTCCCTTCCCCTTATCTCTCCCCCATCCCACCTTCCCCCTTTAGGCATTATGGTTTCTAATACAGATGCTGAAAGTTTATCATGTTTGTCCCGTTACGTACTTTCAGCACTCAGTACTCAGTTCTTGTCCAGAGTCATCATTTCACTATCTTTGTCATAGTGGTCCCTTCTCAGTCCTAGCTACCCTCCCCCACCACCACTTGTGGAAAGGTTTTAAGTAGAAGGGTGATAATATGGCCTCAACTTAAACAACTCAACTCTGATAGATTTGAACTGGAGGGAGAGTGAATGTTTTGCATATAGTGATTTGTAATCACCATCAGAGGGATGGAGAGCTCAGGGAGATGTCCAGGATGCCGGTGGAAAATAGTTCAGCTTCCTTAAAATATTAAGGAAGACAGAGACAGTAAGACTCTCTGGGAGACAATGGAGGATGGGGTGGAGACAGGAAAGAAAACTCAGTGCACTCCTGTGATTTGCCCAAGTACTTGGGTGAATAAAGATGAAGAGAAAAGGGGAGACAATGTGACTCTAGACTTTTGCATGACAAATTTAAGTTTAGATTCCAAGCAGAGAGCTTGAGAAGCAGATAAGCACATCCAACTGTAATTTAGTGACATTGTCCGGATTGGAAGATAATTCATCCATGAGATTAAAGAGAAGGTGAAAAGAAAGGGAAGCCCTATGACAATGTTGTCGAATGTTTGAGATCCAATGCCTGGCAGAGGGGGGCTCAAACCAATGGAGACTTAAAAAGGAGCAGCCAAGTTAGTGAAGTGATGTGGTAGTCCAGACAGAAAGCATTTCAGTTCAATCCCAGGATGCAAATAAACTAGTGGAGGGGCCAGAGAATGACTGCATTTGGTAAGATGGACATCACCTGGACAAGATCACTTCTGGGACATGTTATGGGTGCATACCAGATTGTAGTGGCGTTAATAAAGAATGATAACAGGAAAGGTGTGGATAACATGGAAAAACATAAAAATATATTTTTAAGTTTTTTGAAAATTTTAAATTTATACAGTTTTCTATCTTGTAAATATTAATGCTTTAGGCATATTCTGTAACTGCATCACACTTAGCAAGTAACAATATCATTCCACCTCTGTCCCTTCCCATCAACCCCCTCTCTCCTCGCCCTCAGAATCATCTGTTTCGTGGTCAGAGTCTAAGAGTGTGATTTCATTAGACATTATCTATTCTCTTGATTTGTTTCTGTATCTATGCCACAGTGTGAATGGGTCCTCTGACATTCAGAAACACGATTACTTTTAAGGAGTATTGCTGTGAATGGGAGGCTGGGGAAAGGCAGAAATAACTAGAGGGGACATAGATCAAAAGGGGAGACTTATTTTAAGCACAAGATTAGAGAATGTTGAATACTTATGAGAATGAAACAGAGAAAGAGGAAAGGAAGGTCTGTGACAAACTGAATCTGGAAGTATAGAGAAAAGAACCGATCCAACCAAGGAACGGAGACACTGAAATAAATTACATGAGAAGGAGAGAGGGGTAGAATATTCAGAAATGAGACAGGAGGAGCATAGATCTTAGAGTTGAGAAAATAAACCATGCCTCGTCTTGTCATGTCTGTTTTCTTAATAAAGGAAAGCAAGGTGGATAGGGAGGGCAGCAGTTGAAACTAACCAGAAGCATATTAAAGATCTGAAGGAAAAGGTGACAGTGTGAACTGGTCTCTCAGTGAGTTAAAAAGTTCTTTTGCTGGAGTTGTACAGCAGAGATTTTGGGAAATCTTAAAAATCCACATGAGACTCAAAGTCATTAAAATTTGAGTATCACCAACTGCATGTTGTGATTCCACAATTTGTCATAGGCTTCCTGAGTGGTACATGGGTAGTAGGTTTATAGGCGGTTGATCTCTTAGAAGACTCAAGGTAAGGGAAGTGAATGAGCCAAAGGCAGGTTTTGTACCCATTCATTCCTCTCAAAATCTATCCTTCACAAGAAAAAGGTCACAAAGATACCAAAAAACCTATAACTTCCTTTTCACCCAGTAACCCCCAGAATAGTTCCAAGCATTTCTCCTGAATCCAAGCCTTCATGTTATGTATGCTACTATAGCATCCTCCTCCTGAAATGGCAGATATATAAAGCATTATCTTAGCCCCAGACCACAGCCTGAAGACTGTGCATGACATTTTGTAAGGATCACATTTGATTTCATGTTATTGGTCTAAGAAACAAAAGTATTTTAATTATTTTAAAGTTTTCCATCCAAAACAAGTTGCAATACTTTTAAATTTGTTTCTCAAAGGCATGGGCTTAAATTGAACACCTTATTTCGGGTCTCAAATCAGTAGAACACTAAACGTTCCAAAGAGCCAGGCATGGCCTTAGGAAAGAAAAAGAACTGTCAATGACTCAATGCACAGAGCTAAAAGGGGCCATGTCAGTGATGGAATCTTTTTCTCCTCCATCTTCAGCCCAGTCCTTTCTAGTGCACTGAATTCCATCTTCAGCAAATGGGACCTCCCCGTCTTCACGCTGCCCTTCAACATCGTGGTGACCCTATACCTGGCAGCTACAGGCCACTACAACCTCTTCTTCCCCACGAAGCTGGTGAAACCCGTGTCTTCATTGCCCAACATCACCTGGACAGAAATTGAGATGCCCTTGGTAAGTTAGCCCATGACAGATGAGTTGGGAGCCCAGGTTCCACCACAGAACTCTCAGGAAGCACTTGTGGATGATCCAGGCTCTCGGCTTCTCTTGTTGATCTCCATAGGATGAGGGTCTTGGTCAGGAAGAGTAAGGAAAGGTCACTGTCATGTCATAGGTTCTTTTAACAAGCCCTTCCTGAAGACTATATAGGTCTGAGTCCTCATCAGACTCAGCAAGTCCACAATATAAAGATACCTACTCTGCTTTCATGCAGTCTAAACTCCACAAAGGGAAACAGATATGAAGCAAGAGGACAGAAACAGGTTGGCAACACAGAATGGAGGCATTGAGGTGGTGGGAATGAAATAGGATGGATAATTGGTGAATGGTTGAAATTTTTTTCAGGACAATACCAACAGAAGACAGGGCTGAGTTGTATGTACTTTCCAGATCAGGGTTCTCAGAAAGGCCTGTTTGCTCCCCACATCTCCCAGTAGATGTGGTCATATTAATTTTAATTGTCAATAAAAGCATGTCTGGGTTGGAGTGATAGCACAGCGGTAGGGCATTTGCCTTGCACGCAGCCAACATGGCCGACCCGAGTTCGATTCCTCCGCCCCTCTCGAAGAGCCCGGCAAGCTACCGAGAGTGTCTCGCCCGCACGGCAGAGCCTGGCAAGCTCCCCATGACGTATTCGATATGCCAAACACAGTAACAACAAAGTCTCCAATGGAGACGTTACTGGGCCCGCTTGAGCAATAAAAGCATGTGAGGGTGCTCCTGGCCTATAATGAGTGGAGGCTGGGGAAGGCATGTGTGTGTGTGTGTGTGTGGCGGGGGGGGGGGGGGGAGATACAGTGTACAGACCTCACTGTAGCAAAATAGCTTTCTATCCAGATGGCAATCATGCCAGACCCGAGGAGCCTGCTTTATGTCCTTTCCTGACAATCTTGCAGATATGTGTGTTCCTCCAATCTCTAGATGTTGTAGCTAACGGGGTAAAATAAGGGTTTAACAAGATTAAGTATGCATACCTGGGAAGTTAGGGCCTTGTTAATTAGCACAGAGATAGTTCATAGTTAATACAAAGGCAACCATTATGTCGAACACTCTTCCAAGCCTTTAATTTATTAACTCATTTCATCCTCATAATAACCCAACAGTGTAAGTTCAATCATGAATCTCACTTTATAGATGAGAAAACTATAAGGCACAGAGCTGGCTGCCCAAAACCAAATTACAGCTAGTACTTCAGCTTAAAACCCAGGCACACAGGCGATGAACCACCAACTCTCCCACATCAGACATGCATCCACACAGAAAGAATTGTGGGAGGCAAACCTTCAACTTCTTGAGACACCTCTGAGAGAATGTTCTTTCCATTCCCTAGAAATTTGTCTCCCTTTATTGTTCACTCATCTAAGCTTCCTGAAGAAATCCAGAATCACTATTTCCAGGATCTCAACTACCTATATAAAAACACAACTACCTATCTAAAAACACAATCTATTCCTCAACTACTGTTTGTGATATCTGAGTCTTCAATCAATGAGCCCAATTCCTCATCAACACATGCTCCAGATTCATAGTAGCCCGACTGCTGGGTGCTTAACTCTGGAGGTATCCTTCCCTGTGGGGTAGGGTACCCAGCTCAGGCCCTCCAAAGACAGCCACACTCTAAACCTAAACCTATGAGAGAAGGAAAAGACCTTGGCCCTAGGAGCAACCAAACCAACACCTTTTTCAAGTTTTGTTGAGACCCAGCATGGTAGAGTTGGGGCGTAAATGAAAGAAATGGAAGAGGCAGAGGCCTATTCTTATGGGAAAGCCTACCTCTCCCACGGAAAACAGCTGGGGTAGACACAGGGACAAAGCCAAGAGCCACAAATGTTGATGAAGTCATTACCCTCTTGGTAATTCAACTCATTGTCTTTGGGACACTAACCCACTTCCTCTGAGCCCTACCAGGAATGTGGTCCATGAGACCAGGCAGAAGCATGCAGCACTGCCAGGAAGGAACCCACCCACCCCACACCATGAGGCTGAACAGCCTCGCTAACACTGAGAGTGCCAGAATAGAGAAGGTCCAGGCAACAGATGCCTCTTGTTCAGCTTCAAACTAAACAAAGAGTGGTAGGATCCAAATCCATTTATCAGGACACTCTGACTAACCCTTTGAGTTCTCACCACTCACCACTCTGACCACAGGCTCCACCTCTTCCACACAGAGTTTGCAGGAATCCTCATCCTGGACTCCCTCTTTCTTCAGAACAATGGAGGGAGTGACTTTCCTTCTGCTTAACTGGGCTGGGTTGCTCTCAAAGGATGGTTCCAGAGTCAGGAGAGGTCGGTGCTCAGTAAATTTCCAGGTACACCTGAGTGCCCTTCCCACTAGGGTACGCCAGGAAAGCTGGTGGAGTGGAGGTCCCAGGGCCACAGCTCACCAGGCTAAGCTCTGGATGCTGAGAGGACACTTCCTTCTCCACCCAGGGCTCCTTTCCAAGGCATTTTGTTCTCTCATTCCTCTCATTCTTGACTGCTTGGGCTTAAAAATCAGTGTTCCAGGAGGGGAAGGGAAACGTCAGAATCTGCTCACCATCCTGCGTTTCTTAGCCTTCGGGAAACATGACTGTTTGTTGAACACCTCTATTTCCTGTTCCCCACACTAAAGCTGGGTTTCCTGGGCAAATTATGCTCAGAGTTCCAATAGGGGTCAGAAGATGACTCAAAGAGCTGGAGGACATGCTTTGCATGCAGGAGCCCTGGGTTACTTATCTTATACCACATGGTCCACTGAGCACCACAGGGCCTGGCTCTCCCAAAATAACGATTTGTCTAAGAGTCTTTCTTTGCTCCACTTCCCTTCATATTCCTAGCTCCTTTGTTGAAGATCAGATGCCCTTAAATCTGCGTACCTGTCTCTGGACTTTCAATTCCATGCTACGCTCTGAGAGTCTGCCTTTATTCCAGTAGCTACAATCTCCACTACTATAACTTTATTGCATGATTTAAATTTGGGGAAAGAAAAGAGTTTGAATAGTTTTAAAGCTGTAAGAGGCCAAGGCGAGAGTGGTCTTCTTGTGTTACACATGAATGGACCAGCATATAGAGTGCAGTGGAGCCAATGTGCTCCTAGTGACACAGAGACTCCTGAAATTCTCTTGGAGCCTCCAACTCCAGATCAGAGCTCTCCTAATCTACACATCTTCCTTCTTTTCTTTGCACCCTGAAAGTCCCATCCTAATGTGGGACTTCCAACCTGGGGAGAAAAAATCCACCTGACCTACAATCCATCAGTCAGCTCCTAACTGTCGCTTGCTGACTCTCAGCTCTGGGGATGCAGGAGCATTATCTTCTCCAGAAATCTCTCCAAGGACTCTTGGAGAGCAGGGGAAGTACCCTTTCTCCCTCTTGGTCCCCACACACTGAGCGTGCAGCAGACACCAAAAAAATAGGGTTCAAGCTCAGAAACTAGAATCGTCTTGATCACCAATAAGATGGGTGCCTTTAAGGTTGAATCAACCATCAAGATAGCCAGAGATTGGGATTGGAGCAATAGTACAGCAGATAGGGCATTTGCCTAGTATGCAGGCAACCCAGGTTCTATTCACAGCATCCCATATGGTCCCCTGAGCACCGCCAGGAGTAATTCCTGAATGCGAAGCCAGGAGTAATCCCTCTGCATTGCCGGGCATGACCCAAAAAAGCAAAAAAAAAAAAAAAAAAAAAAGAGCCAGAGGTCAGGGCTGAACAATAGTACAGTGGATGGGGCACTTGCATTGCACGTGGACAACCCAGGTTCAATCCCCAGAACCCCACAAGGTTTCCCAAGCCCAGTAGGAGTGATCTCTGAGTGCAGGGCCAGGAGTAAACCCTAAACACTGCTGGGTGTGGCCCCCAAATAAAAATGAATGTAATAAAACAAGCACTGTCCTCCTGTTGTTCATCGATTTGCTCGAGCGGGCCCAGTAAGTCTTCACTGTTTTTGGCATATCAAATACGTCACGGGAAGTTTGCCAGGCTTTGCCTTGTGGGTGAGTTACTCTCAGTAGCTTGCCGGGCTCTCTGAGGGAGGTGCACAAGGCAAACAAACGCCCTACCAGCTGTGACAAATATATATAAAATATATATATACATATATATATTTTAAGAAAAAAAAACGATAGCCAAGAATCTGTCCAATGTCCCTGGAACAGTTACTGGATTTCAGAAGGTCTAGAGGAAATTCGAGTGATTTGAAAGCCCCAGTGGCAATGTTTCTCTCCTTCTCTGTGGGAAGAAGCCCCCTGAGGCCTCCACACATGCTCCCCGTGGGAGAGCTGCCTGCTTTGCAGGAGGGGTGCTGAGATGCCTGCAGGGTGGTGGAGTGAGGAACCATTTGTTACAGCATGTGCCTTCTGATGTTCTGTCACACACTGGAAGGCACAGTCATCCACCTTCCAGCCTATTAGCTCCTGCAGAAATGGCTCCTTCCGGGCCCTGAGGCCTGGCCATTAGGATCCCATGCTCCAGTGACCGGATTCTGTTGACTTTGTAGCTGCTACAAGCCATCCCCGTAGGGGTGGGCCAGGTGTATGGCTGTGACAACCCCTGGACGGGCGGTGTGTTCCTCGTGGCCCTGTTCATCTGCTCACCACTCATCTGCCTGCACGCCGCCATCGGCTCCATCGTGGGGATGCTGGCAGGTAGGCCAGCCCGCTCCTCAGGGAGGCTGGGAGCATTCTCCTGGAGTTTCTCCCAGACTCAACAAATTTCCAAGCTTCCTTCTCTTGGCTTTTGCTTCTAAACAATGTTTGGGTGAGGGGTTTTTCCCCGACTTGAGCCTCCAAAGGGAGTGACTGGCAGCCGCAAGTGTGCAGAGATGCAAGGAGTGTGCAGACCAGGTTGACTGCAAACTGCAACCTCAGCCAAGTGGGGAGAGCAGGAGTGAATGGGGAACAGAGTAGACTCCACAGAGAGAAAGATAAGGGCCTGGGACACCTGATTGCATTGACCAAGTGTGATTTAGTAGTGCCACGTGTATGCATATGTATGTGCAGGCATTTCTATATGAATATGCAGATTGTTGACTTATTTCTATATTTTCCAAAAATCACTTGGTAGCATAACTTTTAAAACAACAACAACAACTTTACTATCTCAGAGGGATAGTATGGAGGTAAGTTGCTTGCTTTGCATGTGTCTGCCTTGGCCATGGCCCTGGTTCAAATCCCTGGCACTGCATATGGTCCCCTGAGCACCACTAGGGGTCACTCCTGAGCACGGAGCCAGGAATAGGTGGCTGAGCATCACTGGGTGTAACTCCAAAACTTAAAATGTAGAAAAAAAATGGAAATAATTTTAAATTTACAAATCTTCCAAAGATTAAAAGCAGTGTGGGAGGCACTCATAAATTCTTGATCCAGGTTAATATCTCCTACTTTATTTGCTGCAATATTTCTTTCTACCTATAGCACCATGTGCCCCTGGATCACCTTTCTGTAGCACTTTTCCTATTAAAATCCTTTTTGGTGAAATTTTAGCCCCTGGGGCCAAGGGAGAGCACCCTCCCCCACCCTTCTTCCTGGCTTCTCCCCACTCTGCATATATTCACCTTCCATGATAATTCGTTGCTATCTGGAAACCTACTGGTCTGTCCTTGCTGTGGGGGCTCCCCTGATGGGTCCAGACAGGATAAGAAGTGAGACCACCCTGAGACCTGGCACTACCTTGGGATGGCCTTCTGTGCTGGAACGCAGAATTGGCCAGAAACGTCTCCCACCCCCACCTTGTTCCACAGCCCTGACGGTGGCCACGCCCTTTGAGAAGATCTACCTGGGCCTTTGGAGCTACAACTGCGTCCTCTCCTGCATAGCGGTTGGCGGCATGTTCTACGCCCTCACTTGGCAGACCCACCTGCTAGCCCTCGTCTGTGGTGGGTATTTGGGAAGGCTGGAAATCAAGCCACTCAGCTCCTGGTCTCCCTGACCCCCTTAAATGGAATGGGGCAGCCAGAAGTTGGGGCTCACCAAAGAGAGAGAGGGGCCAGCGTCTGGGGTTCTCAGAGGATTAGGTTTGGTGGTGGGCTCCTGGACAGTGGGAATATTGCTGAGCTTCCTTGTCAACATAGACAGCGCTGGAAAGTGTATGAGGAAAACACATAGCTTTCTTCATGCTCTGGTGTCAGCACTCCTGTCCAGAGTGTCTCTCCCTTCAACATTTCTAGGGCTCTGCTAGGTGCCAGGCCTTAGGTTAGTCAAGGAAGATGCAGTGGTGTTCACCTCATGGAGTCACAAGAAGAGAAATAATGATATAGCTATTGATGAAGCCTTTCTCAGTGTCCAGTGGGATTGTTGGGGAGAGCCAGGGAAATGCTGTATCTGGGAGCACCTAGTCCTCTGAACCCCATGACACAGCACCATAGAAGCTTCCTTCTCTTGGAGTCCAGAGATAATGGACTCTGGCTTATTTTTCAATTTCATTTAGACAAAAGACAGGACTGAGACAGGAGGTAGAGCAGGGGAGATGAATGGAGGTGGGGTCTGCAGAGGGATGGGGGTCAGCTGACTGTGGGAGGAGGGAACAGAAAAAGGAGCAGCTCTGCAGCCTGCCTGGAGGAGGCGGGCAAGGTGGGAAGAGTCTGTGTTGCAGTGCTTTTGGCTAACATGAATGCACCCTTGGCCACCCCTTTTCCCATCTGCACCCTTTCTCACCTCCCTGAATCAATACACTAGGTTGTTTCTTTTTTAAAAATGTCTCCTGCACCCCAACTCTATGCAAGGCTTCCTGCAGGGGACTGGGGAGGTCCAAAGGATATGAGTGTTTTCCTCTCTGGCCCTGGTGCAGGCAATCCAGTGGGGAATGGGCCACACCCACCTGCAGAGGCAGCTCAGGCTGGCAGGTGAATGGGCTGTGGTGCAGCACAGACACCCAGAAATGGCTGCAGGAAGCAGGGGGTGCCCTTGCTCTTGGAGAAAGGGAGCTGGGGCCCTGAGACATGACTCTTAACAGATTTGTACCTCCACAGCCCTGTTCTCTGCGTACATGGGAGCAGCCCTCGCCAACATCATGTCTGTGGTAAGTTTGGAATCTCCTGCTCTCTCCTCAAGGGTCCTACCCTGGTCAGGGCTTCAAGCGACTAGGGACTTGTACTTGCCTCCACAACTTTGTCAAGAGTTACCCAGGGCCTGTGCACAGGACTGGTGATTACATGCTTGCACCTCTGAAGGGTGTGTGTGTGTGTGTGTGTGTGTGTGTGTGTGTGTGTGTGTGTGTGCATGTGAGGATGCACATGCATGCATGTGAAGTCTAACATGATAGTAACATAACCAGCAGAGAACACAGACAACAAGATGGAGGGACTTGTTTTGGGCTAGATGCGAGGGTCACTCCTAGGTCTGCTTTCAATCCCAACATTAAAATAATCTGACTGGGTGCCAAGACCTAGAACACATGCTAGACCCATGTTTTAAATGTACAAAGGGTAGGGCTCCTGACTTGCATGTGGCCACCCCAAAGTTCGATCCCAGGCTCCACATGGCCCTCTGAGCCATCAAGGAGTGATCTCTGAGCACAGAGCCAGGAGTAAGTAATCAGCTGCTGCTCTCCCCAATTAATGGGGCGTCTCATTCAGTGATTAGTGAAGAGCAAGATGACATTTCCTAGTAGACAGGAATTAAGTTGGATTCCTGTATATACTCTAATCTCAAGGGGCAAGCATTTCTGGCCAAAAACAAACCAATAAAACAAGTTTTTTAATTTAAAAAAAACTAAATTATGGGGCTGGAGCAATAGCACAGCAGATAGGGCATTTGCCTTGCACAGGGCCAACCCTGGTTCAGTTCCCAGCATCCTATATGGTCCCCTGAGCACCGCTAGTGGTAATTCCTGAGTGCAGAGCCAGCAGTAACCCCTGAGCATCGTTGGGTGTGACCCATAAAGAAAAAAAAAAAACCTAAATAATCTGACTGTTCCAAAGGTAGCAACACCTCACATTCCTTAACCTACCACTGTTAGCAATCCAGGAACCAATGCCATCACTAGGGACAAAGGTGAACCCTGAACCTTGAACCCCAGCAGCCCCTAGGGACCAGAACCATTCTCTAACCCATACTTTTCTTTCCAGATTGGTGTGCCGCCCTGCACCTGGCCCTTCTGCCTTTCCACCCTCATCTTCCTACTGCTGACCACCAGCAATCCTGCCATCTACAAGCTCCCGCTCAACAAGGTCACCTACCCGGAGGCCAACCGCGTCTACTACCTGACTCTGAGGAATGGCGAGGAAGAGAAGGCCCCCAGTGGTGACTAGCCAAGTTCCAGGCTCTTAGCCTGGACGTGGTGTCTGTGCCCTTGGTTTCAGCTCTGGGCCATCTGCTACTGCTGTTCCCTCTCTGCCTGTCCTTGCACCTGGGTGAAACCAAGCACGCCTGTAACTTCCCTTCCCTCTCCCCTCTCGCTCACTTCCTCTCTCTGCTCACATCACTGGCACTGTCCTTTGTGCGACGTTCGAGAACATCAGTGACAAGTGTGTTGGGCCTGTGTTTTAAACATCATCAACTTGAAAGAGAAACATGGAGGTTTTCTCCTTGGGGAAGCTGAGCAGTTCCAGGCTGACTTGGGGTGGGTGAGAACTCAGAGCCACATGAGAAACTGGAGGGGCTGTAGTAGACGGAGCCCTGGAGGTCACACGCAGCTTTGTAGAAAGGAGGGATTTTAGGCGCCAGGGAGGGAGCTCAAGGGGCTAACGGGTCGAGCCCTGTGTTCAATCACCAGCCCCACATGCCCCCCAATCACCATGGGGGGTAGTTGTGAGGGCCCCTGAACCCCAAGTATTAGCCACTATCTTATTTAATGAAGAATTTTTAAATTGGTTGAACTTTAAAATAAAGACAGGGAGACTAAGGCACTGAAACTCAATGGAGAGTCTCGTTCAGTGATTAATAAAGAGCAAGATGACATTTACTAGTAGATAGGAATAAAGTTGGATTCCTGTATGTACTGTAATCTCAAGGGGTCAGCATTTCTCAGTGCCAGTCAAACCAGCAACTCTGAACAGAGATTGCAGTTGAGAACAATTCCTGAGCTCAGTGTGTGAAAAGCTGGGGGAATCTGTTTCATTTTTCCTGTTTGCTTATGAGTGTTGGAAGTTTCAGGTCTGGGATACTCCTGTGATTTACCCAACTATAGAAAGACAGTTATCCATAAATCCCTTCATTTGGCTTCGCATTTAACATCATTAGTTTGCATTGTCTTTACTTTTATATTTATCAGAGGTGGCAAACTCTTTTGAGAAAGGGTCAAATATAAATTAACAGAGAGGGATCCCAAAACCAGGAAGTTTCTTTTGTAAGTACCGAATCACATCATTGTAGCATGAAGTCATTTAGACAAACCATTTAGACACTATGCCAATGAATAAGCATTTGTGGTTGTCTTGCAGTAAGATTCTTGACAAGGCAACGAGCTAAATTGGATGCACATGTGTCACTTTCCAGGCCCTGTCACTAAAGTTTGGCACAATAACACATGGATGCTAGTAATTGACATAACAGAGATTAGGATGGTAGGTGGTTCCCAGGCCCGAAGGAGCTCCAGTCCTTCCCAACACACGCAATCACACAGACACTGCCTTACGGTAAGGCTGAAGATCCTTAAGAAATGGTACCCAAGAAAGTGAGATCACTGCGATCCCAATCAGTGCCATCTGCTCCAAGGATCTTTCCAAAGAATGGAAAAAGCCAGTGCCATGGCCTGGGAGAGCAGCTATAAACCAGCTCCTCCTTCCACCAATCCTCAGGCTGGGTGGGCCTTTTGTCTCTGTCCCCCCTTCTGCCTCTTATCTGTCTTCCATCAGGCTCACCACCACATATGGGATGGCCCTTGGTGCAGGAGTTCCCATGCAGGAAGAACAGGGAGGCCCCTAGAATCTATACTGGCAGAAAGCACGAATGCCAAGTGTCCCCCATCTTAAGATGCAAGAATCCTTCCCAAGAGTGGTAAAGGGTTTCCAGATGTGACTCCACAATAGAGGAAGATGCCCCCCAGCCCCCCCGCAACCCCCAGCATAGTCTAAGAAGCTCTAACAGAGCCAGAAACCCAGTTTGCTCCTTACAGGGAAATTACACTGTGACCAGGGACTCTGGGCTCCTTTCGGGGGAACACTCAGAAACTCTCCATCCAGGGAATGCAACCCAAATGGGAACTATCTGGAAAACTGTTAGGATATGAAAAATGAAAAATCCTTTTGGTTCACTTGCACAGATTATCTTCCACTCCCTTCTCTTCCCAGTTCTTCACAGATCATGGTTGACAAGGTACTATTTTGGCTACTGTTTGGGAATGTTTTCATTTGTTTGTTTGTTTTTACTCTCCCAAGCTCTCACTTTAACCTCTTCAGGAATTAACAGTTAACTGTATGGCAAACTTCATTGAAGAAAAATAAAGAATGAGGTTACTGAGAAAAAGGGGAAAACTATGCCCACCTAATGTGGGAAAACCACAGAAATTCTGGAACATTGTGGTCCAGGTGGGCACTTATGTACAAAGTGAAAGGAAAATGAATTCTCTACTCTTCTCCTATAAGAAAGAACATAATCATGGGATTAGCTGGACACTAGAATAAAGAGAAATGTTTTTTAAAGCAACCAAATATTTGGTGAATGATGTGATTTCTTGCAGAAAGCCCAGCTGACTTTCCCTCTGCTGCCTTCCCCAGTCCTTCTCACTGATCCCCTCGAATGAGGAGAAGCCTTAAGCTTGCAGATTCTCACCACCAACATCAGCTGGTGTGGGATTAGCCTCCATCGGGGAGAAGGGCTAGGATCCCCACCCTCACGCTTTTTCTCTAGGACCACAAGCTCCCACAAGAAGCAGTTCTTGTGTGTTCAGATGACAGTCTAACAGCATCATGTAGTGCTGAACAAAAATAGCCTTGACAAGAGAAGGAATGTCTGTGTGAGGCTGGGGCACCAATGCCTCATCCCAGATCACACTCTGCTCCCACTCCCCACGGCCCCCCTACCCTCCTCCAGATCCTTCTCTGCCCCAGACCTCACTTCACCCGCCCCTCATCTTCTGCACTACCTGTGAGAGCATGTACTCCTGTGATATTTCTTCCTGCTGTTCTTTCCCAGGACCCCATCTTACATCTTTTCCAAGCTGGCCTTCTGTAGCCAATGACTTCGTGAAATTGTCTCCAGCCTCTGGTCTTACTGGAAGGTTTGCCAAGAGATCATCCGTTTTCTATAGTTGCCCAGTTTTGTTGTCCTTCATTAGCTCAGAATGTACCTCCTGCAGCAGGGTCAGTCTTGCCTGAAATGTGGCTTGATCTTCTTTCCCATGTCTAACCTTATGTCGTTCTGCTCTCTCTTTTCTTAATCCATTTTCTGAGGGGCTCAACTGTCTTAGAGCCTTTTTAAATAGACAAGTAGTTTGGGGATGTATATGCCCTCTCTACTGTTTTGGTTTGTCTCCCACAGGATCTATTTTTCTTCTTTGCTAGTGATTTATTTCTATTTTTTGCCTTCATGGGCTGGAGTGATAGCACAGCGGTAGGGCGTTTGCCTTGCACACAGCCAACATGGCCGACCTGAGTTCAATTCCTCCGCCCCTCTCGGAGAGCCCGGCAAGCTACCGAGAGTATCTCGCCCGCACGGCAGAGCCTGGCAAGCCACCCGTGATGTATTCGATATGCCAAACACAGTAACAACAAAGTCTCCAATGGAGACGTTACTGGGCCTGCTCGAGCAAATCGATGATCAACGGGAGGGCCTTTACTTTACTTTTACTTTTTTGCCTTCATGTTTTTAAATTGATGTAAAGTAAAAAAGAAAAAGAAGTTTCTTCCTTTGAAATATTTCTCTTTTGACAAAAAAAAAAAGACATAGAAGGCTATCAATTGTTCTCCTCAGAACAGCATTAGCTGTATGCTAGATATCTTGGAATACAATATCCTACTTTGATCATTTTTTTAAATTATGTACAATTTTTGTTTTTATTTCTCTTTGATCCAAGGATTATTTAAAGATGGTTCTTAAATTTTCAGCATTTTGTATCTTTTAACGTTATTTAACCCTCTAGTTTTATTGGAAAATAGCTTATAAAATACTTCAAAGCTTTATGAGTTTTTCTTTGTAGCCAAGTAATTGACTTTGGATATAAAATGCTAAAGTTTTATTTGGAAGAACCTCATATCAGATATATTTTTTTATTATTTACCTCTGCTTTAGTTTTATCTATGAGGCCATAATTCTGAAATGGGGTTATTAAATGTTTAAAACATCCTTAAATTCGTGGCATTTATGAAACTTTGCTTTCATATATTTAGAGAGCAAAATTGTTTGGTACCTACTGATTGATTACATTGTTTAATACCTAAACAATGCCTATGCCTATCATTGATTCTTCATAAATTTGACCTCTTACTATTATAAAATATAAACTCTGCATTTTTTAATCCTCACTTGTGTTTTTTGGATTTTGTTGGTTGTTTTTGATATTGGTTTAGGGGCCACACCCAGAAGTTCTCAAGGCTTATAAAGTTATTCCTAAATGTGTCTTTTCTTACCAATACTACCTCTCCATTTGCAAGCTCATCTTTCTCTAGATAGGCAATCCTTCTGCTAATATTTCTTTAACAGTTTATCTTTCTCCATCTCTTCTTTCACTCTCTCTAGAACACCTGTTATCCATATGCTAGGCCTTATTTATCTCTGTTCCAATTGCTTGTTACCATCCCAATTACTACCATATGTGGATTTTCCTCCGTATTGAGATATTTCTTCTATTTTATCTTTCAGACCACTGATTCATAATCTAACAGTAAACATCCTTTCATTCAATTCAACAGATAAGTTGAATTTTCACTCATGCCTTTCAATTTCAGAGAACGATTGGGGATGAGGACCAAAATTGAATTCCCATTATTTGATTTCCATTTTGTTTATATTATTCTTTTGCTTTTGTCTCTCTTCTCTGCCTCCAAAAATTAGGTACAGTTTTTGGTCATTTGTGGTCCCAGACTTCTGTCTTTTCCCTTCTTAACTAATTGTCCCCTTAACTAATTGTTTGCATAACAGTTGGGGCTTATACCAAATGCCCTGAAGTAAACCCCTAGAAACTGTCTCATGGGCTTACACCATTCACTCATTCATCCAGAAGACATTGTTGGAGGAACTATTAATATGTTACCCAGATCCATGCTTGACAAAAAATCATGGAAGAATCAGACCAGTCTCTGCCTTCAAGGAATTTATTTCATAGGAATTTTCCCACTAAGTATAATCTCGCCTGACGTAAAGAC